TTGTTTGTACTGGGTATGGTAGGATACTACAAACTGGAGGTGAGGCGTGAAGTAGGTCTAGCTACTTATATGTTTAAGGTGTTGCGAGGTATAACGCACCACCCTGCCCTACTGGAGGAATTGCACCTGTGTGTTCCGAACGAGTACGTGCGGCGTAGGCGGCGGCCGCGGCTGCTGGTGGTACCGTGCGCACGCACGAACCTCTTGCAGAAGGCACCAATGACGCGAGCGTTGCGCATATTGAATGCAATAGCGGACAGTGCGGATATATTCTCGTGTACACTCAACGAGTTCACAAAGGTAGCATATGAGGTTATTGTGAATAATAACTAAGTTCCTAGGTTGGTACTTATTTGATTCTATTATATAATTTATGTTGTTAGTACCTAGGTACATAGATTTTAAAATATAAGTACATATTTGTTATTACTAAAGTTATTTACGTTTATTAGGGATAGTTTTGTGAAAATGTATTAGCCTGTAAGTTTAATTAAGGTTCTTTGTGCTTATGTTCTTTTGTTTTTCTTTGTCTTAATTATTTTACGGTTATTACCCGGATATTGTGTTATAAGTTTACTAATAATAATTATGTAACTGCATTTATCGTATTAGGTGTGCCTGTAATGATGAATGTAATGTTTAAATATAAATAAATAAAATAAATAAATAAATAAACTTCACAATCGAATAATACTTGTACTAGACATTGATAAACAAATACACTACTTATTTGAAAAACCTACACATATATTTAACTACTTGTACACATATTTACGCAACTTTATGTTTAAAACTAATTCCTAATAATTTAAACGAAAACATAAACAAAGCGATCGCCCATCACATGAAAACAATATGGCCGAAAATATTGGAAATGAATGAAGTCATTACCCATAGGAGTCAATTGAGTGTTTATTATATAAACATATAACTAAAACATTAAGGAAACCCAGTGTTTAATTATAAAAAAAAACGTTAATTTACATAAGTCAAATGGAATTGCGTCATCGTCTTATTATTATTTGCCACTAAGAAACATTCATTGATAATAATTTCAAACTCTATTCATAGCGGTAACTTGACGTTTCGATAACTTCCTATTAACTTTTAAAATAATAAAGTAAACTCCTCGTTTAAAGTTTTATACAACAGATACGACAAACGCGACAGATACGACCGGCACAACAAATGCGACATATACGACAAATACGACCGACACGACAAATACGACAGATACGACAAACATGACCGACACGACAGATACGACCGACACAACAAATGCGACCGACACGACAAACACGACCAACACGACAAATACGACCAACAAGACAAATACGATCGACACGACAAATACGACAGATACGACAAATGCGACAGATACGACAAATGCGTCAGATACGACAAATACGATCGAGACGACAAATACGACAGATACGACAAATGCAACAGATACGACCGACACGACAAATACGACCGACACGACAAATACGACCGACACGACAAATACGACCGACACGACAAACACGACAGATACGACCGACACAACAAATGCGACAGATATGACAGATACGACCAACACAACAAACACGACAGATGCGATCGACACGACACATACGACAAACACAACAGATACGACAAATACGGCAGATACGACAAACATGACCGACAGGACAGATACGACCAATACAACAAATGCGACAGATACGACAAATGCGTCAGATACGACAAAGGCGACCAACAAAACAAATGCGACCGACACGACAAACACGACAGATACGACAAACACGACAAACACGACCGACACGACAAATACGACCAACACGACAGATACGACAGATACGACCAACACGACAACACGACCGACACGACAGATACGACCGACACAACAAATGCGACAGATATGACAGATACGACAAATGCGTCAGATACGACAAAGGCGACCAACAAAACAAATGCGACCGACACGACAAACACGACAGATACGACAAACACGACAGATACGACAAACACGACCGACACGACAAATACGACAGATACGACAAACACGACCCACACGACAAATACGACAGACACGATCGATATGACCGACACGGCTGAAACGATAGATACGATAAATACTATCGATCCGAACGACACGACCGACACGACGCATACGACAAACACGAACGATACGACAAATATAATCGACACGACCGACACGATAGGTACGAACGATACGACACATTCAACAAACACGACACGACCGACACGGCAGATACGATAAATACTATCGATCCGAACGACACGACCGACACGACGCATACGACAAACACGAACGATACGACAAATATAATCGACACGACCGACACGATAGGTACGAACGATACGACACATTCAACAAACACGACACGACCGACACGGCAGATACGATAAATACTATCGATCCGAACAACACGACCGACACGACGCATACGACAAACACGAACGATACGACAAATATAATCGACACGACCGACACGATAGGTACGAACGATACGACACATTCAACAAACACGACACGACCGACACGGCAGATACGATAAATACTATCGATCCGAACGACACGACGACACGACGCATACGACAAACACGAACGATACGACAAATATAATCGACACGACCGACACGATAGGTACGAACGATACGACACATTCAACAAACACGACACGACCGACACGGCAGATACGATAAATACTATCGATCCGAACGACACGACCGACGCGACGCAAACGACAATTACGTCAGATAGGACAAACGGGGCAGGCACGACAAACGCGACAAATACAACAGTGATGACCGATACGAGAAACACGACAAACACGACAGATATGGGAAAATTGGACCCTTTCGGGACTGCACGGTTGGCGCGGTGGCTGGCGCGCAACGTGTCGCGGGTTCGATTCCCGCACGGAACAACTCTTTGTGTGATCCACAGATTGTTGTTCCGAGTCTGGGTGTCATGCGTATGTGATATTGGATGTTTGTAAACGCACCCACGACACAGGAGAAAATCCTAGTGTGAGGAAACGTTTTTTTTTTCTTAATTAAGTACCTTATAAACAAAACAAGAATTCGGAAATGGGTTGACAAACGGTGGAGTAATCGGTAAAGAAAAAAAAACGTCCTAACATCCTCCTCCTTTTTTGAAGTCGGTACATAAAAAGAAAAATATAACTACCATTGTACCATTGTATTGTACTGATAGGTTACCCACCCACTGAGGTTAGAAGTCGGCGCCATAAGTTCTATACAAAATTATTCATTAAAACCTTAATAGGAACCTAATTTACAATTTCGTGGTCATTAAGTTATATCATTATGATATGAGCTCATGGAAACGGGACGATCTCGGGAGTTTGCGATCCAATACAACATTCATAGAAATGTATTGTTTTTGACATTTCAATAAAAAGTATTGAATTTGACTATCTGTCAACTACCGTATTGGATTATACCCTTTCAAACAAAACAAGAATTTTGGAAATAAGTTCACAAATGGCGGAGTAATACGCGATAAAAAAAAACAATCAGCCGAACATAGTACCTCCTCCTTTTTTTGAAGTCGGTAAAAAGACATTCTGTCGGTCGGTAAAAAGGCATTATATCGAACGTGTTCAGAAGTTTTAACAAACTTCAATAGATGGCGCTGATTGACATCCTTCATCAGTACTTTACACGATAGATATATTTTATCTATTTAAAACTTTTTATAAATTAAATGATTTTAAAATTATCGAATCCTAAACCCCTTGGCCGGTAGTCGTACTTGCGACCACTCGGCCAACGAGGCGGTCAAAAGAAATTTTGTAACATATTGCCCTTTTTTTTGAGGAGGGAATATCATCGAATGACTTCTCCCGCCTTGGGTGAGGCGGGAGGGAGTGTGAGACTCTTACTGACTAAAACCACCCCGTTCCTTCTCCTGCACGTCGAGCCGGAGCCCCGGTTACCCGTTAGGTTCTTAGTTGCAAAGGAAATAGACAAATGAAACCAATTAAATTATCAAATAAAATTCATTTTATTAAATAAAAAACAAAGTGATGATAGGAATTTTAACAAATAAATGAATAACAAATGAGCACCGGAACTCGAATCGTTTAACGATAACCAAATAATAACAACAACTTAAAACAAATATAGAAATGTCACAGATTTTGACCAATTATTGGAATAGTTTATTGTGATGTGTGACCTATCTATACTCTTCTAAAGCCTCATATACTGAATTCTTCTCCAAGTACAATCGTACAATGTTTTCGTCACTCCCTGATTTTAAAACCTGTCGACACATATTTTGACACTTTTTTTATGAAAGAAACGTCAAAAATGTTATAATTAGGTCAAATATTCATAGATTCAACTTTGTGTCATACGAACACTAGTTTAATATTTATTATTAAAAAAAAACTGCTCAATTGTAAACATTTTAGTTTACGTTTATTGAAAGTATTTTCTTTAATAGAATTCAGTACATGAAGCGCCTAACATTATTACACCCTGGTTACGCGTTTCATGTTCCACTATACACTTATATTACTCTCCTAATAAAACTATTCGATTTTCCTCGATATTAACAATTTTGTTTAGTTTAAAACCATACACTTTTGTACTGTGATGCGTAAGTCACTGTTCCACTATACAATAGTGATTATATCACATTCATATCAAAATGTAAACCCATACACTGAACATTCATAAATATAAAAAAATGTCTTTTAAAAATTATAAAATCTGATTGTTTCGAATAAAGAAAACACTCTTATTGTAGTACAATTGACGAATTTTAATTATGACCCACCAAAAATTTATTTTCTTGCACATTCAAATACGATTAGCTTGCTTCGACGATTTCAAAGTAAACGATGTGGGTTATGATTGAAATTGGTCGATTGTACCAATTGAAAATCATTTTTGTTTTGGGTTCAAAATGATTTTGTGCCGGATAAGTCTTTCACAATGTCATTGGATAGTGAGTTTTATGTTTAATCCTGGATGGTGCAGATTAGGTCGTCTCCTTCTAGTTTCTGTCCGTTGGTGATGGCTACTGAGGAGACGGTGCCGGCTTTGGGCGCTTGGACGATCATTTCCATCTTCATAGCTGAGAGGACGGCGATTGGCTGACCTTTCTCAACTTTGTCGCCTTCTTTTACCTTGATTGCTGTGACAAGAAAAGATGTATGGTTAAGTAAGATTGGATTAAATGAGGATTTTGTATAATTGGGTAGGTACTTGCCAACCAGTCAAATTCAATCTTTTTTTCGAACTGTTAAAAACTAGTTTTCTATGAATGTTGTATAAGATTGTGTGAGTTCACGTTTTTTAGCGTCAAACATCATACTTATTTCTTAAAAAAATGCTGGAAATATACTAAAATTAAGTTGGTCATAAAATCAATTAAAGAAAGTGTGATTATACTTTAGTATTTTATTGTATTGAACAGTCGAAATAATTTATTTTTGGTTATGGAAAGTACCCAATTGTAAATGCCGAATTTCCCACTCTCCAATCACTAGACTGGGGACTACCCTAGTCTCCAAATCTCCAATCCTTAAATTCCTCCAATACCATCAGGTAATCCGTGTGCTCGTCTACCGGCCTCTTAAGTTTCATTATTAGTATAGTATTACAATATATAATTATTTTATGAATACTTACTGAGTACTGTTCCTGGCATGGGGGCTCCGACCTGGTTCTTGTCACCTTTGATGGCCTTCGGGTGGATTTTCATTTCCTAAAAAATTAAAAATTATAATTATTATCCGATCGGAATTCCATAACATGGTCTTGGGTTTTAAAAGGTGGTACTGACGATAGATTTCATTTTTTTAAATCTTTATTTACTTATATATAAATAAAAGTATTATTGGGGTTTTTATCCCTTAAGGATATGCCAACCCCATCGTAGATTTCATCTTAAAGGGATTTATTTGCCTTAGTTATGATCTTTAGAAGTAAAGACACTCACCTTGCTAGCATTCTCGTCCCTAATGAACACAGATCTGAGTTGTCCGTTCAGTTCAAAGAAGACCTCCCTCTCTCCAGCCGCCGTCATCTCATCAGACACAGCCACGGTCTTGATATCTAACGTCTTTCCACGCTCGATCTTGACTTCTATCGTTTCTCCAACCTGGTCAACGATAAATCAATTTAAATAGGAGTTTTTTATGGAATAGGAGGCAAACGAGCAGACTGATCACCTATTGGTAAGCGATCAGCACCGCCCATGGACACCCGCAACACCAGAGAAGTCACAGGTGCGTTGCCGGCTTTTAAAAAAGGAATACGCTCTTTTCTTGAAGGTTTGATGGACGTATCGATTCGGAAATAACCCAGATTTGTTTAGTTTTACAAGTAGGAGTTTGCGTAGTCAGTAAATACTGTTGCTAGGTGCAAAACTTTGAAACGGATTAACTAATTTCTATAAACCATACTATACCTAAGCATTGAAAGTTCGTAAAGAGTCCACGAAGAAAAAACGGATAACATGAAATATATTTTTCATATTTTTACTTTTTATATTTCAGCCGTGTCGTGGTGGCCCGGAGATTTAAGAGGCCCGCTTCTCATGCATGAGGGTGCGGGTTCGAAACCTACCAACGGCAAGTACCAATGTAATGTTTTCCGAGTTATATGAATATGTACTTTCTAAGATTATCTAGTCACCACTGACAAACGGCGAATGAAAACATCGTGAGGAAACCTGAGCTTATAATTTGTAATAATTATAAGTCTGTAATCGCCAACCCGCCTTGAGCAAGCGTGGAGCTCAAACCTTCTCCGTGTGAGAAGAGGCTTTCAGCAGTGGGCACTTATGCCAACAGCCTTGTTGATGATGATATTTCAGCCGAGGCAGCAAGCAATAAATTCGCTTCGGGTATAGAATTAATGTTGTTTTACAGCTACAAAATTCGTGGTTCTATAAGTAGGCAGATATTTTCTTTTGTTTTTTTTTAAACGTTGCCCCACACTAGGATTTTCTCCTGTGTCGTGGGTGCGTTTACAAACATACAATTTACATACATATGACACCCAGACCCGGAACAACAATTTGTGGATCACACAAAGTGTTGTTCCGTGCGGGCATCGAACCCGCGACACGTTGCACGGCAGCCGGTTGCCCAGCCACCGCACCAACCGTGCAGTCAACAAGATAGTACTTGGTATTAGTAACAACAAAAAATGCTACTATTACTCACGCTAGGTCCAACCAAGAAGGTCTTGGTGTCCAAATGCTTGACAGGTCCATACTTGTCGCGGATACGGAAGAAGTCGTTCGCCACTTGAGGATACATGGCGGCTGACATTACGTCTAAGTCTGTCACCTAAACATAAAAAATATAGAAAGTTTACATTAATATCGTTTCATACTTAGAAAAACTTTTTAAGTGACTTATTAGAAGAATTTAGTCATGCTAACGTGCTTATAGAATAAAATTAACTTATTGTTTTGCTCAGAAAACTAAATAATAAGGAAATGTTATAGTCATTGAAAAACACAAGCACCGTCTAATCCAGTACCTACTTAAAACTTCATAAACCAGAAATATCATGCAAACAAATTTACACTTTATTGCGTACTCATAAAAGTCTGGAATAAAATAGCAAATAGTAGTCTAATTTACCTCGGGATACGTTTCTTTGAGGTCAGCCTTCAATTTGTCGAAGTCCAGAGGAGCAAGTTCCTTGCCGGGCCTGTCTGCGATCCTTGGCATGTCCTTTAGTACTTTAGACCTGCAATAAACATTACGTAGGTACAGACATGAACTAAATGAAACATTATATTATTATTATTATTAGTTTTCCTGCTCCAGGTCCACAGGAAGAAATTCCAATAGGAATATGTGGTACCTTTGTACTTTAATTTTATGTATGTGTTGTCCTTTATGTTGTATGTGTGTACATAAATAAATAAATAAATTTCATTCCATGTAATGAATGACTGCACGGTTGGTGCGGTGGCTGGGCAACCGGCTGCCGTGCAACGTGTCGCGGGTTCGATTCCCGCACGGGACAACACTGTGTGATCCACAAATTGTTGTTTCGGGTCTGGGTGTCATTGTGTACCTATGTGAACTTGTATGTTTGTAAATGCACCCACGACACAGGAGAAAATCTTAGTATGGGGCAACGTTTAAAAAAAAATGTTATGGGTAAACTGTAATATGAACTTGATAGTGATAATTTAGGTATTTTAGGAAGCAACTAGAACCTCAGAAAGAAACTTGCCTTCAGCAGTAGTGTCTAAATTGGTCTCAAATCAATATAATAACTTTAATACCATTTCATCATTCGAAAATCAACTAAAACTACAAAAACATAAAGTGTCTTTCAGAATAAACAGTTACCTAAGTGGCTCAGGGAATCCTCCATGAGGAATACCGATGGCTCCTTGCAGATACTCCACGACGGACTTGGGGAAGGATAGTTCCTCGGCTTTCTCTTCAATCTCTTTCGCTGTGAGCTTGTTCTGCACCATAAACTGAGCCAAGTCTCCCACGACCTTGGAAGATGGAGTGACCTTGATAATATCACCCAGGAGCAGGTTAGCTTCCCTGTAAAATAAAAAAAAATTGGTTGCCTGTAAAGTCGGTATACGGGCGAAAGTTTTACGTGACAACGACTTTGAGTGGTGTGCCTTTCACTTTTTATGTCTGTCTCTCTCGCCCTTAGGCGGGATAACCATGCCCGAGTGGAAGGGACGCGTGCCTCTCACTCGCTCTCATTGTGAGCGGAGCGTAACGCAGTTTCTTGAAGTGTTACCCGGCAAACCAATTTATAAGACGTTGTCATGTCAATAGGTAAGGAACGTAAATATATATATATATATTTGTTTAACCTTGCAGAACTGTATGGATATTAATGATTTCTTGACTAAATATTTTAATGTTCTATTCAATGGATAATGACTAATGTAGTGTAAAACGGAATGAACAGGTGGTTGAACATTTTCGCAAACATTTATTCACCTCACGAACTCTACTCACCAGAGGGCCAAGCACGAATAACTATCGCATTCGTATCGTAACAGTATCGAGCGAGTTAAGCGTTCTGATTGGTTGGTTCACTTGAGCTGGCCAATCAGAGCGACGAACGCGCTCGATACTATTAGGTTACGAATGCGATAGTTATTCGTGCTTGACACTCTGTATTGTTTTATTGTAATTAATGTTCCAAAATACTAATATCAACGAGCCAATGCACGCAGCAAATTTAATCTTTTGTTTAGAGAGTTCTACAGTACAGCTATTGATCACTTATAGAAAGCATCTGTTTATCCCAAAGAACATCTAAACTAAATTACATAACATAAAATCACGTCTTTTATCCCCGAAGGGGTTGGCAGAGGTGTACATCACGGCACTTAATGCCACTGTACAATGTAACACCCACTTTTCACTATTTATGTTATTAGCCCCATGTAATATTTGGTGGGCTAAACTGAATTACATAAAACATGTACAATATTAACCTGTAAGCCTTCTTAACCTCTTCAAACTGGCTGCCCAGACCAAGAGAGAAGGCCTGGAACTGCAAGTTGGTGTACTGTCCTCCAGGAATCTCATTCAGGTACACGTCAGCGTTGCCTGACTTCATTGTAGCTGTGGCCTCGAACGGACCGTACAGAGTGCGGGCTTGTTCCCAGTATGCTGAGTACTCTGATACAGTTTGGAGGGCGATGTCTGGAAAAGGTAAGATAAAATTTGTTTTATACATGATTTTTTTTGTACGTAAATGGAAGTTTTGGTAGGTATTGGTAGGTATGGAGAAATAAGCCTGCGGTAACCTCACTCACACGACGAAACATAACGCAAGCGGTGATTCACGTCGGTTTTCTGTGAGGCCGTGGTATTACTCCGGTCGAACCGGCCCATTTGTGCCGAAGCATGGCTCTCCCACACTTAGAACTCTCAAGTTTTAAGAAATACATAGGTATTCATTATAATAGTTTACAAAAAGTAGGTATAATTATGAAGTGTACTTACTGGTATCGAGTTTAGTTCCTTGCAGCGAGGCGACGATTGCGCCCATGCTGGGCTGGCTGGTGAGGCCGGACATGGAGTCGACGGCGACATCGACGACGTCGGCCCCGGCGGCCGCGCACGCCAGCATGGCGGCCACGCCCGCGCCCGACGTGTCGTGCGTGTGCACGTGGAGAGGCACGTCGGGGTGCTTGTCGCGGATGGCGCCGATCAACAACCTACAGACGTGCTCCCTCGTTATTTACTTCACTAACAACAACAACATGCCCTTCATCCCCGAAGGCAGAGGTGCACATTACGGCACTTAATGACCCTGTACAAAGTAACACCTTCTTTTCACTTTTTATGTTATGAGTACCATGTAATAGGAGGTGAGCTTATTGCCATATAGCGGACACATTCCAGACTCCATGCTACTACTGAGATATTTTAAAAAAACCCAATAATACTTTGCCCTATCCAGGAATCGAACCCGAGACCCCTTACCTAGCATTCACACTTGCGACCACTCCGCCAAAGAGGCAGTCTACTTTTATAATAACTATAGAACTAAAATTGCCACTTACTTAGCAGCCTGAGGCTTGAGTAATCCAGCCATATCCTTGATAGCCAACACATGGGTACCAGCCTTCACGAGCTCGTCAGCCAAGTTGAGGTAATACTTGAGGTCGTATTTCTTCTTGTTGGGGTCTGACACATCGCCAGTGTAGGAGATGGCGGCCTCGACCACTCCACCTGCTTTACCCGCTGCTTCCATACCAAGGATCAAGTTTGGAAGGTAGTTCAAAGAGTCGAACACTCTGAAGATGTCCATGCCATTTTTAACCTGGAGTGTTTATGGTTAGAGCTTAAAAATGTATGTATTTTATTGATTGTAGACGTTTGGCTACTATCTTGCCTGGAGCAATGACGCAGCCAACGATGGAGCACGTTTGCCCATTAGCAATCTATGCACTCGAGCCTTGAAGACACTCAAGACAGATACATAGAATATTTAAGGTCATATTATTAGTTCATTTATCATATATAATGATGACTGGCAGAGAATGCTATTAGCATTAAGTCTTCCTTATGCAATTGTATAAAACTTAAATAAATAAATAAAGATAAAAAAAAATGCGTTTATCATGGTGTCACAAGTCTCGAAAACAGTTTGTTGAAAAGGTTCTCAAAAATCTATCTATATATTATAATAATTATGGAGTTTCTAGCAGTTAATTTCCTAGGAAAAACTACTTACGGCCATATCACAGAATTTGTAGACGACGTTGTCTGGATAGTTGGTGTATCCGACGGCGTTGGCGCCTCGCAACAACATCTGGAAGGGGATGTTGGGGATCAACTGACGCATGTCGCGGAGACGCTCCCATGGACACTCGTGCAGGAACCTGGTGGGAGGAGAAGAGATTAATGACGTGTCTTGTGAAAATTTTAAGGTAGGTAGGTAAACTTAAACGGTTTAATATCAATTCTTCAGTTGAGGTTAAAACAGAGATGGAAAACTTGGTAGACAGGCTACCCTAATACCAGTGTAACGTACGTACACGTATTGTAAGTTAATAGTACCAAAGTAGAGGTTTGTACCTATTACTTTTTTTACTGTAGAGTTAATTTTGTAGTTAGAACTTAGTCCTATGTCTTTACGTCACAGTTTCCTTTCATTAGAAAATTCAAAAGATTACACTTATCTAGGTATTTCGTTTAAAACTCACCTCAAAGCCACATCGAAAGTAGCACCACCCCAGTTCTCAAGCGAGTACAGGTTGCTAAAGTTATGGGCGACGTATGGTGACACAGCCAAGAGATCATGGGTCCTGACTCGGGTCGCTAACAGGGACTGATGGGCATCTCTGTACGTGGTGTCCATGAGAAGTAGACCCTTGTTCTGCCTGACTGCCTTTGCAAAGGCCTCTGGACCTCCCTCGTTCAAAATCTGTTTGTAACCCTTTGGTGGTTGAACAGCTGCAATTATTGGGAATGAAGGTTAAATCAGATTTTACTGAATGTCATCGGCAATCATCAAATTCTATCATTATTGAAGAAGTCCCGTCGTAAACCATTTGGTTCCTAAGCGTTTGAAATGACTCCAAAAGCATCTAAGGCAATTTCTACGTTTTTAACTATAAGCCGCTCATGTTTTGTTAAGACACCGTTTTGGTATGATTAATTTGTTTCTTTTTTGCAATTTCCATGCGATCAATAGGCGGAAACAGTTTATTTTAAAAATGAAAACACTCTATCTAAGCTGTTTAAAGTTTACGTTCGCACATGCAAGATATTGGGACCATCTATCGTTTATGACCCACAGAATTTCTAGTTTAATCCTTTTCTATACATACTTCTAAGTAGGATTTTGTAATTGTTTTATAATCTAATCTAATTAAATAAATACACTCATAATAATAAAAGCAAAATAAATAAACTAAATAAAGAACATTTAATATTAATCACATTGCACGCGCCATTCTGGAACGTGTGATATGGAAGCTTGACACCACAACCAAGTAACGATCGGGCGAAGCTACATAATAGGGTACAACTGGTCCGAAATAGCAATGGAAACTATAATTAAGCGTGTAGCATGCTATATTCTATAGCAGGGCTTAATGCTATTTATCAATTTTGTTCTGGTGTTTTAAAAATATATTTGTCAAGTCGAATTTTGTTTATCTCTGGTTATCTACCAATATATTGAAATTGCCAAACGGGAGGAGGTCATAATTTGGAAAAGATATATTTAATTCTAATATTTAAATAAAATAGCAGTATTATGCTATTGCATACCCTGCTATTTTGATATGGAAAATATTCCATCACTAGGTCGAATCTAATAATCTAGAACATAAAGTAGGCTCACCTGTGTTTTCCCCTGTTAGTTCTTGTCTTTTAATAGCCTCAGGGGATAGGTCTGAAAACATGTTAACTGAAATAATGACTGTGCGGGAATGCGTGACGTGCAGAATTAAATAAAAAATGGCTAATGAACTCCAGTACAAGAAATACAACATCGAATATATAATTTTGTAGAAGTTTTGTGCCACAGACAAGAAACTTTAAATGCAAGGTTTGAAGTATTTGTGTTATCATCTTTTATAAAAAAATGTGAGACTACATTACCACATGTGAGTGTTAGGTAGGTATTATTTTTATTGTGAGTATTTTCATTATACGCTAAATAAATACATTTGATATAAGACTCATTTTTTACTAGTACTTTTATACAAAGCCATAAAATATCTTCTCTAATAAATATGAGACCTTAATATCTGATGTTGTCAATTTTTACTTTTACGGGAAGGGAATTTAGGTTCAAATTGGCACAAAACTTCTTCACTCAATATAATATCTCCTGTAAGTTCACGTACAGGATTAAAGACAATTAATAGCAATAAAAATAATTATAATATTGCGTATTAAAATAAATGAAGCATGAAATTTTAGTCATAGTAATGTATTGAAAAAAAAATCATAATATTTTATTAATAAACCGTGTTCCGATGGGATGAGTGAGTCCCAAGTATTAGACAAATTGGCTAAATAAATAGGCGAAGCTTTAATTGAAGACATTGCTCATAATATATACGTAAATCGCAAATAAAAGTATTATTTAATAAACAATTTGGAACCTACCATACCCATTGCGAAATACTGCAAAAAATCGTGAAAGTTAAATTTTTAATTTTTTTTTCGATTGTCATAAAATTTCATCCTCCATTTTTGTTATTTTTTTATCAAATGGGGGATAAAACCGTTTAAATTCATGTTAAAATGTTGCATGATGTTAATCGCCAGATTTAATATCAATCATGCAAAATCCGAGTTAATAATCCAATTTGTAAAATCCAGTTTTCGATGAACTTCGCTTGATCCACGTATCTTGGGCTTAATGAAAAGAAATATTCATTAAAAAAATGCTTCTCTAATACCGTTATATGAATTCTAAATCCCACACGAATTAGTTGTCGAACAACATTAATTACAACACAATCTCACCTTTTCTCATCTATGGCCGCTAAAATGGATCATGTCAAATTATTTCATGTATATTATTTTGTTCAGAACTTACCCAGTGGTACCGTTGGAATGTATGGTTTGACGACTGCTGGCGGTATTTTAGTGGCTAAAGGAGTGGCTGGTCCGTTGACTAGGACTTGTCCGAGGTAATTGAGGATCTTCTGAGCTCTGTTCTGCGAGGCCTTGAACATGAACAGCTGAGGGTTCTCGTCAATGAAGTATGTGTCTAGGGCTCCTGTGGAGAGTGTGAATGGCAATGTATAGTTAGATGTATAAGAAAATGAAAAAGTGTGTTATAAGTAAGGTATGAAAGTCTTAAACAATTATTTAAGATCCATTCAGATTGGAGATTGTCAAGTCTACAATCTGGGTGCTTACTCTTGAAACCAATATATCTTATAATTCTTATACATACATCTCAATGTCAATGCAGTTTCTATTCAATAAAATGTCTATAATTATTCAATGTCAGAACTATACAACCCCAATCGTAGCTGTTAAAATAGCATTCCGAGTACGGAACATAAAGTCAAACTCAATATCATTTAGTTCATTAAAACCACGCAATACAGATGCAATGGGCGCTAGTATTGCAACTCGAGAGTACGAAATTTTACAATACCAATGTCGATCGATGGGATTTGGAATCAAGAGTAAGTTCCCTGACCTCATGTCCTGTTAGTAAATCTAAAGACGAAAGAAGTGTGAAGAATCAGATAAAACGCTTAAAAATAAAATCTTCGAATCTTCTTCCATTCATAGGTGCCATTCAAGGCGAGTTTGTGCTTGCTTCACTTCACTGAGACAGAATAATGAATATCACGTTGTGTTCAGAGTAGAAATAATATTTCTAAAAGATGCACTCAGCTAACGCCATACTACTATTTATTGTGTTGTCCCATTGCTCGATGGATGGCGTTGGCCGATTTAAATTCAAGCTATGGTTTCGTTACCGGCAAAACATTAGGTTGTTTGCTTTGACGTAACGCTTTGACGGCCAACGCCATCTATCGAGCTTCTTTTAGAAAAAATATTTCTACACTGAACACGTTGCAAGTATTATTATTGCATTCCTTATCTATTTGTTTCTTTTTATTTAAAATAGAATTATTTGATTTTCAACCTTTTAACCTTGGTAACAAAGTAGACTTACCATTCAAGAACTTCTGGTTCTCAAGTACGTTGAGTAAGAATGGAATGTTGGTCTTGACACCTCGGATACGGAACTCTCTCAGTGCGCGGTTCATCTTAGCGGCTGATGATGGAAGGTCGTGCGCGTGGGAGATTACCTGGAAATAAGAAAAGTAAAAAAAAGCATATATACGGTCGAATTGAGAACCTCCTCCTTTTTTTGAAGTCGGTTAAGAATAAGCAAATTCACTAATATAGAATTAGTAATAACTGCCTCGTTGGCCGAGTGGTCGCAAGTGCGGCTGCCGAGCAAGGGGTCTCGGGTTCGATTCCCGAGTCGGGCAAAGTATTATTGGGCTTAAAAAAATCTAAGTAGAAGCACTAAGTCTGGAACTGTGCCTGGTATATGGAAATAGGTATGACATGACATGGGACTCATAACTTAAATAGTGAAAAGTGGGTTCTACATTGTACAGTGTACATTATACAGCATTAAGTGCCGTAATGTGCACCACTGCCTACCACTTCAAGGGTAAAAGGCGTGATGTTATGTCATGTAATATCACAGAAGAAAATCCTTTGTTAATTAGCTTCATGAGAAAATTCTAGTTACAATTTTTTTAGATAATTCTATAATCTATATTATCATTGCTTGCTTGGTGTCTATTTTTAGTTATTGTAGGTATCTACCATGATAAGTGCAAAAACCACATTTGGAAATTGCTACTTAAATCTATTTTTTTTAATTTTTACCACATTTACATACACATAGCACGCACATACATAACATCACGCCTTTTATCCCCGAAGGGGTAGGCAGAGGTGTACATGCTACTGTATAATGTAACACCCACTTTTCACTATTTATGTTATGAGTCCCATGTAATAGGGGGTGAGCCTATTGCCATACACCGGGCACATTTCCAGACTCCGTGCTACTACTGAGATTTTTTGAAAATCCCAATAATACTTTGCCCGACCCGGGAATCGAACCTTGCGACCACTCGGCCAACGAAGCACGGACATTCGAAAAATAAAATAATTTTCTGACCAAAACGTTCTCCAAAAATATACTTTGTTACCAATACAATAAAGATTACATTTCACTTTTGTATTTACCTTAACTAGTAGAGAGTCGTAGTACGGAGAGATAACAGCACCAGCGTATGTTGAAGCGGAGTCCAGACGGATACCCATACCCTCACCAGACCTGAAGGCAAAATGAACCTTAATTTGTGTACAGTAAAGTTCAAAATTGTTTCAATATAATACTTAATTGAATTGAAAAAATGGGATTAGTAATATACTACATATTACGAAATCTTATAAACAGCCTTGAAGACTTAAGTTTCCTTAATAACGTAACACTATAATTAGAAGTTTTAGAACATCAGCCTTAACACTCAAGATATAAAGCTCAATTTACATAGTAAGTTGTTTTTTACAACCTTTCATAAGAAAACTACAGTCACGGAACAAATGATACAATATGCATTCAACTCTATATTGAAAAATAACATCTATTTTTTAAAACTACAAATTTCATTTTACCTAAACACTTCAATTCAAACTCAATGCTTTATATACCTACACATTGAAAAATAACCTCTATGATCATAAACACACAGTCCAACATACCTAAATACTAAAATTCCAACTCAATACACTATACAATATACCTACACCTCAAAATAATCATGAGCAGCATATCGCGACGCGGCGACTGTCGCACTAGTCTACCATGGCTTAAAAGTAGTGAAAAATAGCCTCTATTCTCATAACCACAAAGTCGAACTCACCTGAAAACTTCAATTCTTCCTGTACTAGGCTGGAAGTTGTTAGCTGGATCTTCAGTAGTAACTCTGCATTGAATGGCGAATCCTTGAGCATCAATCTTGTCCTGGGTGAGTCCCATTTCAGGTAAAGTCATTCCTTCAGCCACCCTGATCTGGGATTGTACTAAATCTATGCCAGTTACCTCTTCTGTTATTGTGTGTTCTACTTGTAACCTGAAAAGATTATGAAATTAGGTTGTATTTGTTGACTGCCTCGTTGGCCGAGTGAGCAAGTGCGACTGCCGGGCAAGGGGTCTCGGGTTCGATTCCCGGGTCGGGCAAAGTATTACTGGGTTTTAAAAAAAAATCTCAGTAGTAGCACGGAGTTTGGAATTGTGCCCGGTATATGGCAATAGGCTCACCCCCTATTACATGGGACTCATAACATAAATAGTGAAAAGTGGGTGTTACATTGTACAGTGGCATAATGTTCACCTCTGCCTACCCCTTCGGGGATAAAAGGCGTGATGATGTTATGTTATTGTTGAAACGTTATTGTTATATTAGCTTCTATTCTACCCGCGGTTTAGCCGCATTCCTGTGGGATAAAAAGCCTGTGTGTTATTCTAGATATTATGTACCCCAGTTCAAAGTTCCATCTCGATCCCTTCAGCCGATTTTACGCGAAGGAGTAACAAACACTCACAGACACATCATCATCATCATCAACAGCAGCCTATAAATGCCCACTGCTGAGCAAAGCCTATTCTCACACGGAGAAGGTTTTGAGCATTAATCACCACGCTTGCTCAATGCGAGTTGGCGATTTCAAACTTATAATTAGAAATTATAAGCCCAGGTTTCCTCACGATGTTTTTCCTTCACCGTTTGTCAGTGGTGTCTAAATAATCTTAGAAAGTACATATAACTCGGAAAAAGTCACATAGGTACTTGCCGTTGGTAGGTTGCGAACCCGCACCCTCATGCATGAGAAGCGGGCGTCTTAAACCTCCGGGCCACCACGACATTATCACAGACACATACTATATAGTATATCCTCATAAACGTTCGCATTCATAATATTAGAAGGACACGGTCTCCAGCACGTCAACCTTTCCTGCTAAACCTTATTACATTGCAACTTTACTGCTTTTTTTAAAAAAACGTTGCCCCACACTATGGTTCTCTACTGTGTCGTGCAGTCATTAGGCAATGAGATTTTTTTGGAAAACTTAAAAAAAATCAATATAGGTAATAGCAATTCAAAATTGAACTCAATACCTCATTTCACTCAACCAACAATCAATTTCAAAGCTTCTTGATATTCCTAAATTATATTCCCATTTTTTATTATATTTATTCTGGTTTTCTATACACCCTGTACATTGTATAGTTCCTTATTCATCGTATATATTATCACACAAAATTGGTCTTTAAAGTAATATAAATAAGTCATACCTGGCATTGACTTCAATGAAGTAGAAATTGCCTTTGTCATCGAGTAGGAACTCCACAGTACCAGCATTCTCATAGCCGACAGATCTCGCCAGGTGAACGGCACAGTCTGTCATCTTCTTCCTGGTCTAGAAATTAAATAGGAATTTTAATTCCTCATCTTACTCCTAACTTCACTACATAGTATAAAACAAAGTCGCTATCCGCCGTCTGTCTGTCCTTATGTAGGTATGCAAAGATCTTTAAAACTACGCAACGAATTTTGAAGCGTTTTTTTTTATAGATAGAATAGAAAAGAAAGGTTTATATGTATAATACATGCATGTTGCATCCGTGCGAAGCCGGGGGCGGATCGCTAGTATATTATAAAACCAATATAATTTTTATTCAACCCGAGGGGGAGGGGAACTGTGCCTTTAGCCAAACGCCACTTTAGCGCTTGTCTACAGAGAGAGTAGAAATCAAAATGTATGGGCATGACACTGACAAGTGTCAATATTTACGTCACTTCTATGTACATTTTATACGTAGAAATGACGTTTTAGTCTCCACTCCTAAACTTTGATTCGTTTTATCTAAGTATCATTTTATTGTACAACAACATAAAAAAATACGTGTCTAATATTTTTTCATTATCTAACTGACGGACTAATAAGATTTTTAATTTCCGTACCCAGTCATCATCCCTATTATTATTTAAGGAGAAAAGAAGGAATAGTTTCTACTCCCTTTTTGATTATTCTATTTTTATGCCGAGTAAAAGCTGATGTCGTGGTGGCCCGGAGGTTTAAGACGCCCACTTCTCATGCATGAGGGTGCGGGTTCGAACCTACCATCGGCAAGTACCAATGTGACTTTTTCCGAGTTATATGTACTTTCTAAGATTATTTAGACACCACTGACAAACGGTGAAGGAAAAACATCGTGAGGAAACCTGGACTTATAATTTCTAATTATAAGTTTGAAATCGCCAACCCGCATTGAGCCAGCGTGGTGATTAATGCTCTAACCTTCTCCGTGTGAGAAGAGGCTTTGCTCAGCAGTGGGCATTTATAGGCTGTTGATGATGAAAAGCTGATGGACAATTAAATAGAGGTAGGTTAATGGAATTAAAATGGTTATTACCTCAGGGTCCAATCCGGGGGCGGGTGCGATCTCGACGACCTTCTGATGTCTCCTCTGTACGGAACAGTCTCGCTCGTACAGGTGAACTACGTTGCCGGCCTTATCACCTGGTAGAAGAATGGGAGATATAGATGGATATTGCAAATTGTGTTCTTTTTGTTTTGTTATAAAGTTTCTTTTCCGTTGGCATTGGCTAGTGATTTATGATGTTTTTTGTATTATAATTTTCATAAGATATGTTAAATTATTTTTAATGGTTTACGTATTGAGCTAACGAATAATTTCAACCCGCGCTAGGGGATCATTAAGTCATTACTCAGTACGCCAACTCGTGGGTCGCGCAATGCTACTCAACAATATAAGCCCCAAGAATAATTTGAAACGAGTCGTTTTGTATTGTTTTAAATGAGTAATCAAACCTTTTATCCCCGAAGAGGTAAGTAGAGGTGCACATTACGGCACTTAAGGCCACTATACAATGTAACACCCACTTTTCACAATTTATGTTATGAGTCCCATGTTATAGGGGGTGAGCCTTTGCCACATACCGGGCACAATTCTAGGCTCCGTGCTACTACTGAGATTTTTTTTAAAACCCAGTAGTACTTTGGCCGACCCAGGAATCGAACCTGTACTCCTTACCCGACAGTCGCACTTGCGACCACTCTGCCAATGAGGAGTAAGCTAAACTATTAACCATATGGTCCTGGTTACAGGTCACTTTCAACCTATTTGGAAGTCTATGAGAGTTGTCTATAGTTCATCAAAGGTTAAGAACGAAAAAACGATAAAAAAACCACGATAAACTTACCTAAAAGCTGCACTTCAATATGCCGTGGTCTTTCAATGAAGCGTTCAATGAACATGGATCCGTTGCCGAAGGCTCCCAGCGCCTCGGACGAGGCTCGCTCGAAGGACGAGGCCACTTCACTCATCTCCTTCACCACTCGCATACCACGGCCACCACCACCGTACGCAGCCTGGTGATAAAGCGTATGGGAATTTAGACCTTATTGCAAATGACTTCCCGTAGAAATTGTAATGAAGATCAGAATCAAAATGGTTCGATCATTAGTATTAATAAACCCTAAGTTATAGTTTTAGATAATACTTTACAAAAATCTTAAAGATAAATATCACTATGGTATTATTTAGAGATCTGTCCGAAGCAGACGGCCTAGTGCGAATTCTTTTTTAAGTTATCGTGATCGAAACGCTACGCCCTCTGATTGGTTAGTTGAATTGAAGCTAGCCAATCAGAACACTGAACACCATAAACGTGTCTATCGCGCTAACGTAAAACAAATTCGAACTCTGGGCTTAATTTTTACCGAATTCATTACGAAACATTACACATAACATCACGCCTTTAATCCCCGAAGGGGTAGGCAGAGGTGTAGATTACGGCACTTAATGCCACTGTACAATGTAACACCCACTTTTCACTATTTATGTTGTATGGGATCCATTCCCATGTAATAGGGGGTGAGCCTATTGCCATATACCGGGCACAATTCCAGACTCCGTGCTACTACTGAGATTTTTTGAAAAAGCCCAGTACCTAATACTTTGCCGGACCCGGGAATCGAACCCGAGACCCCTTGCCGGCAGTCACAATTGCGACCACTCGGCCAACGAAACAATAGGTACAAAGTTGTTTTTATTTTTATAATTTGTTGAATTAGGTTCTAATCTTTAAAACACATTTACACAATGACATCATTACCTTGAATATAACAGGAAGACCATGTTGTTTGCAGAATTCCATGGCCTCTTCCTTTGTGGTCACCGGGCCGTCAGTACCAGGGACGATTGGTACCTCTGTGATAAACAGAAACCACTATTGAATGTCATTTATCAGTCGGAAACGCTTTATCTACAGTTTAATGCTGCTTAAATGTTCACACTAAATTAATTCAATTAGGGTAACTGACATGAGCTCCATACAAAATGTGTCAAAATTCTATCTCTAGCAGGGATGTTACGGAGCTCCGTAACCGTAACCGAAACTATCGGATATCCGATATAAAAAAATATCCGTAACCGTAACCGAATCCGAAATAAAAGTTTCGGATACTATCGGATAGCGGCGTGACGTATAAACGAAACAATTATATTAGCTATTTGTTATTAAACAATTATACTAGTTATTATAAATATATTTACTTTTGAAATTCCTTAAAATTTTAATATCCGTAACCGAAATTATCCGAAACTAACGGATAATCCGAAATAATTTCATATCCGTATCCGTAACCGTATCCAGTATAATAATCATTTCTATATCCGTATCCAATCCGTATCCGATATTTCATATCCATAACATCCCTGATCTCTAGTAAGCAAATCTACAGATAGATAGGTTATAGAAACTGGACGTAAGTTGCTTCATTTGACAAATTCATGCGTACTTCACAGACAATACAAATGACAAATGCTTGCATGTTGCTTAAACAATGAAAACTGTCGACGAAGCGGCAACCGCTAATCCGCCTATTTTATAACCGACCTCCAAAAAAGGAGGAGGTTATCAATTCGGCTGCCGATGGATTTGTTATTGGCTTGTAACACCGACTTCTTACCTATCAGTGGGTGGGTAACCTATAAGTACGTATGACTAATAATACATATTTTTTTCTTTTCAATTTTTACCTTTTGCTTGTTTTTAGATTTTGGTTTTCGAAGTAGGTTTCTTTAAACGCAGTTTTTTACTAAATTCATACTTTCATCAATTGACGCAACGTGGACAATACAGTAACCCTAGGATCTTGATGAGGAAAGGACTAGCCTAATAAATATGTAAGCGTATTTTTGCAGACAGGTCGGAGTTGATTATCATTTATTATTACTGGTTTTTTTTTAACGGGGGAAAATCATCGAATGACTGCTCCCGCCTGGGTGAGGCGGAAGGGAGTGTCAGACTCTTACTGACTAAAAACCACCCCGTTCCTTCTCCTGCACGTCGAGCCGGAGTCCCGGTTACCCGTTAGGTTCTCCGCGACTATTATTAGTGGGTAAGCCCACTGCCCAGTCTTTATTAGAATATACTCTTACGAGTTACGACATTCGGGATTAAGATAGGTGGTGACAAACATACCTATTTTACTCTAGCGAATAACATGGCACAATATTAGCAACTGCAATATCAGTATCTCTTTTTCTAAGTTTAAATTTTTTATAATTTCATAAATATGATATGATAAGTCTTTATGTTTTCATTTAAATAATCATTTAGCCCTACTACTCACTGGCATCAATAGCTGCTTTCCTAGCGGCGACTTTGTCACCCATCTGCTGCACCACGAATGGGGAAGGTCCAATGAATCGGAGACCAGCGTCAAGGATCGCCTGAGCGAAGTCTGACCTGTAATGTAAAAAAGTAATACAAGATTTGACGAGATAAAGTTCAATAGACTTTAGTTACTTATGTAGACCTATTGGAACATGTAAGAATATGTTCAAACAATGCAATATAGTATTTTTTAAGCTTCTGAATATAGTACATAATTTCTATTTTCTGAATATAGTAGTAGATAATTTCTTTAGCAATATGTTTTAACTAAGCTGTGATGATCGTCGATAAATTCAAAGATGGTTGTTATTGATGCGGTAACGTACCAATGCAGTATAATTTTAAAGTTAGTTTTATATAGTAACATAGTTTAAAACAAAGTCACTATTCGACGTCTGTCTGTCCCTATGTATGCTTCTTCAATTTTGATTCTTCGATCTTTAAAACTACGTAACGGATTTTGATGCGGTTTCTTTTAATAGATAGAGTGATTTTTAAGAAAGGTTTATATGTATAATACATTAATAATACACCCGTGCGAAGCCGGGGCGGGTCGCTACTCGCTAGTAATAAATCAATAAGAGTATTAAACTTTTAAATCTTTACCTTTCAGACAACAGTCCATAACCGGGATGCACAGCATCTACGTCATTTTCCTTGGCGACTCTGATGATTTCGGGGATGCTGAGGTATGCCTCTACTGGTGGTAGACCCTTGCCGACCATGTACGACTCGTCGGCTTTTTGTCTGGAAATGTATGTTACAATATTAGAAACCGTCACACACATTTTTGTTAGGGGGGAAAATCAACGAATGGCTTCTCATTCTCATTCCCCCATAACCAAATTACTATAACCTATATAAATTACCCCGGGCGTTCTCCCGGGGTTGAATTTGGTTAAGGTACTGTATCGACCCCAATCTAATCGGGGAAAGAAGAAAATACAAGAATTGAGGAAACTCGAAGTGTATATAAGGTGACTGAGTGTTTTTTCTGAATAAAACGAAGCATGAATTATATTATACTGTATACTCATTATTGTTGTGGTGGCCCGAAGGTTCAAGACACCCACTTCTCATGCATGAGAGTGCGGGTTCGAAACCTACCAACGCTAAGTACCAATGTGACTTTCTCGGACTTTATGTACTTTCTAAGATTATCTAGACACCACTGACAAACGGCGAAAGAAAACATCGTGAGGAAACTCGGGAAAATTTTAAAAGTTTGAAATCGCCAACTCGCATTGAGCAAGCGTGGTGATTAATGCTTAAACCTTCTCCGTGCGGGAAGAGGCCTTTGGTCAGCAGTGACCACTTATATGCTGTTGATGATGACAGTCATTATGATCCGACATTAATGTCGTACGATCGTTTGTAAAAATGGGAGACGTATAAAAATACATTACATTTTCCAACAAAACAACCAAGATTAAACAGTAATTTACACAGCTTGTGACAGCAATTGAACTTTGAACGTATTTATGTTTGTGTAAACAACAACTCAACAATTTAAGTTTAATCAGGTATTGGTGTATCTTATCAATTATCACTTAGTTAAGTACTACATATATATATTACGATTAACGAATTTCGCAGGATGGTAATAAGTACTGCTAATAGAGCTATACTCCGTCTGTTTAGGTAGTTAACTATTTGTAAACAAACCATAAAAAGAGTTCTTTATAGTTGACATTTCCATGATTCAAAATACTTCATAAGAAAATAAAATTGTTTCCCTTTTTACGACAGTTTTCTCTATTAAATGTTATGTTTCTGTCCCTTTTCACTTATTTCTTAGTAAATATTATATATATCTGCTTGAGGATATTAATTTAATAACATTTATTAAATAGTATAACATTTCATTACAATAGACACCATAAAGAGCCTAAAATCCCAGGTATCCAAAACTTTTCTTTAAGAACGAAGCCAAATAATGTTGTCAAATTAAAGAGTACAACTAAGATGTAGCGCGACAATGAAAGTACCGTGTATTACGTTTAGTCGGTTAATCAGGCGCCATTGACAGCTCTCTCGTCGTTTGCGCTCGCGTTCCTATTTTGTTGAATTTATCTTGTTTCTTTGTTTTGTTTTTGTTATTAAGTTATTCAAGTTTAGGTTATTCATCGTTTGTAATTAATGTGTTCAAATATATTGAAGAAACTTGGCCCAAAGACACATATCCCTACAAGAAAGAAATCCGTACATCAGATTCAGAATAGTTTCTATTTAAACATGATAATGAAATAGACCCATAGGCAAGGCTCTTGTACGATTTAGGCATTTGCAATTGTATATGTGTGTATGACAAATGAACGAATTTAAAGTGAATTTAGTTAAAATTAAAACACGAGAAATATTTGAAGTAATAGTAGGTTAAGTATCTCTGTGTCACGTGGTTTTCTTTGTTTACCTTTAGTTAATTACCTAAACAGATGGACTATAGTTTGGCAGTCATCGGGGTTTAAAAAGGTTATCTACCTTTTAATTATACCATTCTATCCTTACTTATATTATAAATCGGAAAGTGAGTTTGTTTGTTTGTTTGTTTGTTCCGCTTTCACGCCGTAACTACTAAACCGATTGTTTTGAAATTTTGCAGACGTAAAGTTAGAAGTCTGGATTAAATAATACTTTTTATCCCGGAAAAATTTTATATTTCCAAGGGAAAACAAAAATATTGGTATAGATGGCGCTGTGTGTATTGGTATAGATGGCGCTGTATATCATTAAAAATCAGTCAACGAATTACCTACTTATTGCAAAAATCTAAATAGCGCGATATAACCGAATTCAAGGTGAGCGGAAAGCTATTTATTTGTTTGCCTGTCTTAAACGGCAGAACAGGTACTAATTAACTGAAGGTAGTTGAAGGGATGGATAGTCACATAGGCTACTTTTTATCCTTTTGTGACGCGAGCGAAGCCGGGTAAAAGCTAGTGGTTAATAAGTCATCATCATCAATAGCCTATGAGAGTTCCCTACTGTAATATGGGCCTCCTCTACAAAAAAGGAATTTGCCATAATCACCACGCTTGACAGGCAGTTTAGAGATAGCAATCTTAATAGGTAGCATCATAAATCCCTTACCTGTGCATCTGCAGTTTGTCCTGTTCGCTGTAAATGGCGACGGAACGGATGCCCAGCTCGGTACATGCTCGGAACACACGAATAGCAATCTCTCCTCTGTTCGCCACCAGAACACTTCTGATTGGCTTGTATTCCACTGTCTTCGCATCCTGGAATAAGGTGACGTTTTGTTTACTGTATGGGTACTTACGTGCTTAAAATCAATATTGTTGTTTTCCTGATGATAGTGATCGATATGTTATAGAAAGCTGTGGCACGTCATAGGGTCTTATTGGAGTGTTAATGAATGCTACGACAGAATTTTCTAAGTACTCCTGTAGGCAGTTCCTCGAAAGGGGCACATGTGGGAATTTCATCTAATACAGCTAATCTCGTCGTTGGAAATATCGAAGGATCAAGAATGTTTTGATTTCGATTAACAAAAGATTGTTTAAAAGTACGGCGCTAAGGTTGAATGTGTTCTTCTATGAAACGCGGATGTTTTGGTGTGAACTGTGACGTTAATGTTTGGGTTCATTGTCAAAGCGGATAAGTGTATGGATGTACCTAAAGTACTGCCTAGTGTTTGAGTAGCTAACATAATATAATGCATTTATGTAAAGAAAATAAAAGTATTAGTCGAATATCCTCAGAGTGCCGTGTCAGCCACCGGTGACATCGACAGCCGACCATTCTCATAGTCATGAGCGTGAATATTGCGCGATGATCGTCGCTAAGACTAAAAACCAACTCAGAAAACGCTATGAGCTCCTAGCGCGGCTTGAAATTAGTCGAGTTATCAATTAAGTAATTGTTAACAAAATATATATAGTTAATCTTGTTGCTATCATCGCATTTTTCGTAATAGAATGTGATCTAACCTCGAATAAACTCATACGTAAGTGCAATAAACACAAAAACTTCGTACTCAACTGTCGATAGCGATAAAATGAGCGAATCGTTTATGATTGTCATGGCGACGGCTCGTGAAATTAGTCATCAGGTGGATTAATTAGAAAACAAGATTGCGGTAAGAAAATTAGCGATTCTAGTTTTTTTTGCATTCATGAAATTTGTTGGCTTGAAACGTCATATTTATTGTACAGTTTCTTATTAATTTTGAGTTCAGTACCTACTTAGTATTAACTTAACGAGATGTGACTGAGTGTTAGTATTCTGGACGGTTGCTATTTGTCCCCCACGAAAGCTACTAAGAGTTTTTTCCCACATTGGGTGAGGCGGTGTTATGTCGAAATACTCAAACGCCACTCAAGTTAAGTCGCGCTTAGTATAGTTCTATCACTACAATTCTTTGTAAAATAATAGAGATGGCACGATATATAAGTTCAACTTAAAATTTAGAGTTTCAATATTCGGCCGCTAGACTCTTACTGACTAAAAAACCCAATTCCTACTCTTGAGGGTCGTCCAAATTCTTGGACAACCTTTCTTCTTTCTTCTGATTCTTAGTTTCAGGAAGAACAACATTGTAGGTAAATGCCTAAGTATTTCCTTGTCTTAAGGAAGGTAATTAACTATGAACTTCATAGCGAATACAGACCTACATTAAGCTTTATATATGACATAATGAAACAAGGACATTTCAGTTTAATGAGCACATCATAGAACGATGAACTTAGACAACGGATAAAGAAAGTTGAATGTCCGACCGATAAATAAATAAATTAGATATCTTACATATCTTCTGATACATATATTATAATATGACTGCGCATAATTACTCTGATATAAGGAAAGTATACCTTATTACTATCGGTATAGGTAATCTACTTAATTACTTAATATGTAGCTAAAAAACAACAATGATTTATGTGTTTTGTTACGTCAACCTCATCAGCTTCAACTTTTGATTTATTGGCGTAATTTGTCAGATTTTTACAGAAAGATTTTTTCTTTTAACCTTAGCCCTAATTACATTTTCGTCCTCATGAAGTCTTGATTTTTTGCTATCCAGTAACACGAATATAAGCAGTGATTCTTACGACATCTTTGTTTATACTCCTTATATTAGGGTGTCTAATTATTGTCTATTCCCATAGCAATAAGCTCATTCCCTATTAGGTACAGTGACCAGCACATCAAACTACTGCAATATGTCAATTATTTTATTTATTTTTATTTTATTAACGCTTCATGCACAAAGTGTACACAAGGTGGACTTAATGCCGCAGGCATTTTCTCCCAGTCTGACCTTTGGGTGATGCAGAGAAGAGTGAATGGTAGGAGCAAGAAGCAAGCAACGATTTAATTGAGAAAATAGAAGATTATACTAACATATTTCAAATATGAACATAAATAAATATAATAATAATATATATACCTACACACGAGTACACTGCAATATACATACATACATACATACATACATAGACTCATAGCATATAATATAAATATGAACATAATTACTAATACTCTGTTAATAATTATTGTGATGATTCAGCCAACCTCTTCAAGAGAAGCTCACGTACTTTCTGCTTAAATGTTAAACGTGTCGACACCATCCTGACATCCAATTAGGATGATGACAGGGTATGAAATGAAAATTAAAAATGTAATTAGTCCGTCAGTTAGGCAATGAAAAACTATTAGACACGTATTTTTTTATTTTGTTGTACAATAAAACAATTCTTAGATAAAAACGAATCAAAGTTTAGGAGTGGGAGCTAAAACGTCATTTCTACGTATAAAATGTACATAGAAGTGACGTCACACGACATTTCAATTCAATATATCGTAAAAATAATGTCCAGAATGTTATATGGTGACCTGCATACAAGGTCGTTTATACACCAAGATTGTAGATACATACAATACCACAATACACTTTATAAACAGTCTAAAGAGTTCAAAGTCGTTTGTAACATCCGTGTCAATCAATGGTGTTATTTTCTTTTCTTTAGATAACATATATCTGTTTACAATTTTGATAGTATATCAATTGGTATCATCGTTTTGCTGTTTGTATAATCCCTATCATTTTTTTTTAGATTAATTTGAATATTTTTATTACATGCTTATTACATAATGTTATGTAAAATTTAGTTTTTACTCAATTTTAGTTATTTAGACGTCTAAATTTAATAACCTTAGAACTTCCTTAGACCCTAGGTATACCTAAGTAGGTAATAACAACATCATAAATGACCCAGAAAAACGAATTTTCCTTAATTAATAATAGGCACTTAAATGAATCATATCTATTATATAGGAAAACAACAAAATGATTGGGAAGTATAACTTACGGCCACAAACTAATTATAGTGAATATACTGAGAAAAGCTCTACTAGGTCAGCCTCACTAGGCTGTGTAACATCGCCACGACCGCGCACGCTGCTCATGAGGGAGCACCCCTCTGTGGTTCCAAACTAGTTGAGCTTTTCTCAGTATATTCACGTAGGTAACCCACAAATTTTAGTTAATTTAGTTGTCTCGCGATAGTTATTACAAAAACAAGAAGTGTAGTCATATTCTCATAATATGTATAGTTAGGGACTTGAACACCATCACACGAAAACAAACGGACATACAAACAAATCCTTTAAGTATTCAGAAAGATAAATTCATATGATAATGGTTAAACCGTGTAATTTTAAAGATAAGATAATGTAAGCGAGTTCTATAGAGTACAAACAATAAAATCTAATCAATAAATTATCAGAAGGAGATGTAGGCGTGGACAGTTCGTAAGGATATAATACGATATCTTTTCAAAGAGATAGGATTAAAAACAACGTAAGTGTTGGGTAACTGTTTTCGTTTATGGGGAGAATGTACGCTATTTAGTTATATTTTATGACTTCCATAGAATAGAAAACGATGAGCTGATTTTTCCAACGCCAGTTCAATTTTAACTAAGGAATAACTTTGAATATTTGACAATTCTTCCAAACTAAAAACTGTGAAATGTCAATTTTATTCTATAGTTAAGACTTAACTGATGATTGAAAAATCGGCCCTTAATAGGGCTCCGGCTAAACTGAAACAACTTCGAAAATCTAAACACGAATAAGCAATTATAGGTAGGTAACTGCATTTTTCCTGGCTAGGGATGCGATTTTCTAAGGATGACGCGGAGCGCGTGGAGGAATGAACCTCCTCACGCCCAAACCGTTGCGAGAGACACTCCGGGCGTTAGGGTTCGGACGGTGAGCAAAGATAGCTGGCCGTCCGATCAGAGGATATTCTACGGGGTTGTTTTTCGGGGGCACTCGAAGTATAGGAGTAGGAACGGGGTGGTTTTTAGTCAGTAGATAAGAGTCTGACACTCCCTCTACCGGCGGGAGAAGCCATTGGATGATTTTGAAAAAATGGGATGCAATCAGTTGTACGATAATTAGTAAATTAATTTTGCGACCACTCGATTAATGAGGTAATTGGACAAGATAAAAAAACATGGTGATTGATCGTATTTTTTTGGTTTTTCCCATTATCTTCGGTAGCCATTGACATAATAATGATTTATGATAATGACAGTCATGAGTTCGAAAGTTTGTCGTGTCGATCTCGAAATCCAGTTCAAACTGGTAATTTTCAGTGCTGACTTGAATTAATTTTATTGATAACAAAATGTTAAATACAGTTAAGAAGTGTTTGTAAATATAATTTTTATGGCCTTTTAACACATTCGATATTACTTTGTGATCATCATCACAAGTAATAGGTATGACTTTTAGACTAGGCTTCTGTGGATTCTGTTCTGGGAGGTGATAAATGTACTTTTTGATTTTGTCTTCGATATTTTCAGCTATTTCCATTTCTGATTCGACGAACGAAGTCTGGAAACCTCTCTTTCGTCCCTTTAAGACGGCTGATGGCCAATACGGTGCTGCAGAAGGCCTAACGCGTTGCCGGAGCTCCAGCTCGAAGAGAAGAAGAGTAGGAACGGGATGATTATTTGTCAATAAGAGTCTGACACTCCCTGTCGCCTAACCCAAGGCGGGAGAAGTCATTGGATGATTTTACCCAACCAAAAAAAGTGTATACTATGAAGCGTTTGAATCTAACAAGTCTTATTGATTACTTTAGTACAGATTTTAGTATTGATTTTTTCACTACCAAAGATAATTTTAATACATTTTCCATGTAATTGACACGGATCAAAACAAGATACATATTTCTAAATCGCTTACGGCTTACTTATATTGCTCATATATACATACGTAGAATACATACACAAATTATGCTTGATAACTGTCGATTGACTCCACAACTGTTTTTAATAAACGTAAACATTATATTACGCAAGTCTTCTTTATATTTTTATTATTTACTATTGTCTTATGATTTATTTTGTTTGAACTTTGATAACGTCTGCACGAGGCACGATTGTAAAGAATTGAGATGTGGACCGTTCCATTGGTTATCTACTTATGTGCACACCACAGTATATGTAAATAGAGAGGTGAACAAAACGTAATGTGACTGTGAACAATATAGAGTTGGAAAAAACTTAATAAAAAACAATATGTTTAATATTATGTAGGCAGTAAATAGATACATTTGTCTTCTGTTCCATAGAGCAGACTTACATTGTTGCTTCTTAATGAAGAAAAATAATATTTTAAAAAAGAATGATTGCACGGAAAATAATATGTTCAAGGAGGTGTTTGTTAGTGTGAATGTGTAGATTATAATATGTAAAACTCACCGAAGATGCAGTACGGCCTTTTGCTGAGCTCCATGCTTGGAACTGTGAAGCAGTCGCTCTTAGAGCGAAACGTGCTTTTAAAATCTGCATATTTTATTTACACTTAATAACAAAACTTACTATAAAAAAATAAGTACAAATCTTAAACTACTTTAATAACACAGTTTTATATCATTTTTGAATAAAAAAATGTGATTGATAAATTGACTAGATTGTTTTTTTTAATAATTTTTATTTAATTTCGTTTCGAGTCGTGCCTTTGGCGTGTTTCGATTTCAAATCTGAAACAAAGAAAATGTGAATTAGAATTAAGCTTAAAAAGTAAAGAAGCTTCTCCAAACTAACAAAAACTTAACAATTTTGAACTTTATATCTACTATCAAATGAAAGTTAAAAATTTATATTATTCAGTTTTGGAAAAGCTTGACGAGCTAGCGACTACCTACCGTAGGTACTTAACATGTTAACCGCTGCGTAGGTCACGGTGACCCACATTAGCGGAGGATTTGCCTTCAACAGTTTTCTGCCGACAATCAAAGGCTTAAAAATATTGTGAAATGGCTAAAATTATTTTGTAATATTGTTACAGAGACACGTGTTCGATAACATGGTCATGATCTATAAGAAAACGCACATTCATTGAAAAAATATAATTATATTTATCATAAACGATATATAGACAGATGATTGATTAAGTCTGGAAGTATTAGATAACATTAGGAAATTCCTATCTAATAAAGCAGGTACCGAATTGTTCATACTTACTTACCTAGTACTTATTTATTAATGGGTTTTTCGATACCTATCTAAAATTGTTTGCAACAGACTCAGATAAGGTATGAAAATAGGCTCGCTTTCTATTCAAATCGGATTGTGATATTTTAACTGAAGAAAGGGTACTTTCTAAATGCATCTCTGGATGACCTTGATACCTTGATGCAGTTACTAAACGCATCTGTAGAGTCTGTAAACATTTGAGAAGTCTCAACAGTTCTTTAGCTGTCATCATTGTATGCAAAGGAGTAATTCCGTAGCGATTTGGGTCATAAAAGCTTTTCTTTAATTCGAAAGGGAAATACTAAATTGCTTGTAAATATTAGGTCAAGGACATCGCAATTTTCGTAGACAGTGTGACGCGGATATGACAAGCACTATTATTAGTAACAATTGTGAACATTTACATTTAAGTAACTATATCATGCATTATTATTGATACATAAATATTGCACTACATGGACACCAATGTCAACTTGTTCAACAAGAGTTAATTGGCTTTAAATGCTATAAATTTACACAGATACGCGTGTACAATGCATCTATCTATTGTCGTCAACACAGAATGAATAAAACATTAAAAAATAAACGTATTCTCAAATGTAAAGCACCCGTATTTTTTGTCATTGCATAAACTAAACGTAATTTTTTTCTTTTTTATTCAGACCATCGTAGACAAGGTCGTGTCACAGACTAAAAATGGCAATTTTGGCGGACTGATTTTAGTGCTCTTTGGTTTTTTATTTTGGTCTTGCGTTTTTTGTTTTAAATTCTAGTTTCGACGCTGTTATTACTATGTATTATTATTCTTAAGATTATGGTCTGTCTGTTATTCCCCACTGGGGCATTACCTGCTATCTTAATTATAGTTTTGTATGAATTTCACTAAAACAAAAAACATTCTCAAATTAGATATTTTAGGTGGGCAGTCATTGACAGCTACATCCCACCTGGGCATTAACACCTTGGCAGCTTGGCTTATTTTGCTTTAAACAAACGAAAGTGACATGTTTACGAAATAATAGTTAAAAATCTTAAACAATTAAGTTGTTACACTGGATACAAGTTCCGTCTATTGGCGACACAAACGACCGAAACGACCTGAATGACATTGCGATGTGTAAATCACCTTTGGATAACGTTCGGTTAAGTTTATTTTATTCTATTATAAACAAGTTGATCTAGTGCACTAGTACTAATCTATAGGATTTGCTTGCAATTGTATTAAGTTGGGGAAAAGTGATTTGCGCATATTTATTATCACTTCTTCCAACGTCGTCAACGACATTGTCCGAAATGTGTTAGGGTCAAATCAAAATATTTCAGGCAAGGGTTTAATTCAGGGCTTAACATTATGCTTTTTATTTTTGAAGTAGGCAGACAGAAGTTCAATAGCCATTTTCGCACTTAATGTTATGCATCACATATTATGCATTTGGCTTTAATGTATAAAGCCATCAGAACTAGATCAACGAGATCTTCTGTTCTGAGAAAAGTCATTACCTACTAACTTTAATGATCTGTAATGCTTTTAATAGATATCAAGGGAAAGTTATTAAGTAAGTATAGAATGACACAATTCACACAGATGTCGTAAAATATAATTAATGGCTATAATGTCATTTATTTCATCATTTAGTACTTTTGCCTTTAGGAAAATAAAAATATCCAATCATAATGTACTTTTCCTCGCATTTCGGAATATATCTGATTCAACACAGATACGATAAATGACTAAATGAAAAACATCGCTATCAATTCGATAGTTGAAATAGAATTGAAACTGTTGGAGGAGCATGATTTTGAAATAGATACTAAGATACTGATTAATTCACACTTTTACAAACTGGATACTTTGTTACCGTAGCACTGTTTAAATAAAAGTGACTATGTATTTTTGAATAGGCTCATTTTGCAAGTCATGTCAGTTTTCATGTATGTACCTACCACAAAAAAATTACGAATTTTTATAACTTAATAGGATGGCGTTTGGCCACCATCTCGCCTGGCTCTTTATTCGATTTTTACTCAATTCATATACCGAATCCAAAGCTTGTTTGAAATCCATTACAAAAACAGGTGATTTTTTCTCAGTCTCTATGTCTCTATAGAAACCACTTAGTTAATAGATAATATTAGATCATGTTCCCTGCAATGTAAAAGTCAATGAGTGAAAGGTTATCATTATCATAGAAACTATTACATAGCAACTTGTAATATTATGCAGTTGCAACTTGCAATCTTCGACATTATAGCGTGACCTATAAGAGTGGCGCTATTCTGACGTATTCTCTAATCATGCACTATGCAGCTAGAACCATGAACATGATTGCGGATAGCACGCGATGGCTGATGTTCAAAATGTTAATGTGGAGTGCCGCACGGCGGTATTTTAGGTCCAATTTGTTAAATAGGAATACAATATTCTGAAATAAAAACAGAGTTTGTATTCTAAGTATCATGTAATAAAACAACAATTAAAATATTATCTAGGTACCTTAATATTTTAACAGACTAACCCAATCATTTTCTTTTAAGCTTGTGTTGATCAAAAGTCGTTGCCTAATTACTCGTCTCCCTAAACCCCGAATTCCCAACAATCCTCCAATTCCTAATCCGCAAAGAACGGGTAACACACTGAGATATTTATTATTTCTATTAAAATAAAAAACTTAAATTAAAAACTAACTATTACTTAAAAAAATTAAAACTAAATATTACTAAATTAAATACCTATATACAACTAAAGATTAAAATTAATTATAAGAAAAAAAAACGAAAACAACTATTTACATAAAGCGTCGAAAAATTCGTCCGCATCGACGTCGGTGGGGAAAGTACCCAGAAGGCTGGCAGCATTGCCACGTTGTATGGCAATGCTTAACCTCTGACCAAGAAAAAGACCAGCCCTCTGGTCACGAGATGTGTCAAAACGTGTGTCAAGATGTGTCTGGTAACACACTTGTAATTTGTGGTGTTGCGTCGCCCATAGACATGGGCGACGCCGATTGCTTACCACCAGGTAATCCGCCTGCTTGTTTACCGGCTTATTCCATAAAAAAACACGTTTGCATATTTAATATCTACTTGTAATGTACTCAAATGCCCATTTGTCAAGAAGTAGAACGCAACAAAAACATTTTAGCGCACAATAAAGACAGAAGCGATAAGCGTTGGAAATGAGACGGAAATTGAGAAGATTACTTGTAATGGTAGAACATTAGCTACAGGCCTTCAACTTGAAAATTACATGGTAACACTAGCCAGACAAATAGTATTATGAAACTTGTTAGATATGTACCAAGTTTATACGAATATCATTTCTTAGGATTTGTTACGGATATTATTTAATCTCGATAAAAGCAGTATATTTATCATAAATAAGTAGTTAGGTAAGTTGATTTATTACCTATTTGTGATAAATGTAAAAGTGAAGTCAATGAGTTTAGAGCATACTTAACTTTCTTCCGGAAAATTCTTTGTTATCATTCGTACTGTCACGTCCTTTGCTACTCTTAAATTATGACTAAAATATCAATTTAATGTATTTGCACCAACTTTTCCAAAACATTAGTAACCTGTTTCTTTCTAAAGTTTCTCTAGTGTTTTCTATTGTCGCTTCTTTTTATTAAAATGGCGCCAAAGATCCTGTAACTTTGACAGCTGCCATAATGTGTTTGTAGAAAAGCGCGGTAAATCGTAACCAGCCAGTATCTAAAGAGAATTTACATATCAATGGCAGTTTGTTACACATTTGAGTCACGTTTAAATAATATCCGCCAGGCCTTTATGTATGCACATAAACATTTATTTAAATACAATACTTGAGACAAATTAGAATACTATTATTCTGACTATTACAGAAAGGATATGTCAAGTATTATACAGTAAAAAGATTTGAAACAAGAAATAATAAAATAGTCAGAGTAATTTAAAGTATTTTTAATGCGGCATAAATAAAATAATGATTTGACAGGGCATTCAACTCGTCTAAAGATTAAGAAAAGTTACGACAAATTTAAACAAGTATGATAATAATTAGTTTTAAAGATAATTTATTCACTAATTCCTAATTTGCATGAAGAAAAAGACCTTATCGTATTCGAGAGCCTCATATTTTGATTGTCTATGGTCTTATATTCTTACGACACGGACATGTGAAGCCAATGGACCCTGGTTTACGATTTGAAGATAAAACTTTATTACATCCATCTATCAATGCACCTATATTTCACGATTTTGTTATCAAGTTGTCATAAGATTTATCGAAAAGTTTACACTTCTGGCAAGTCGATCAATTAATCGTACTTCAGTAG